CGTGGCCGTGTCGGTGACACCGTAGTGCTGCCGGGCACACAGTTAAGTCGGATGAGGAGAGCCAGCATGTGGGATGGTCGCTGCCACCAGCCAAGCTCAAGCGCAGTTACTGAGCAGTGGCTCCGTGACGGATCCCCAGACTCGAGGCCCCAAAGTTCACCCGCTCTTTTATTGCATTTCTCCAGTGTTTGGAGTTGAGCCAGACTTGACCAGGGAAGGCGGCAGCATTCCTGTGACCCTGACCTTTCAGGAGGCCACAGGCAAGAATGTCATGCTGTTGCCTGTGGGGTCAGCAGACGACGGTGCTCACTCCCAGAATGAAAAGCTCAACAGGTGAGATGTGGGCACCTCGGGCCGAGCCCAGGTCCGCCCCGGCACGGCTGCCCCTCCGCCCCGGCCTCGTGCCGCTGCCGGGAGGCGGAGGCGGGAGGGGCGGGGGCCTCGGGCGGGGCAGTTCGTGAAAAGAAGGTTCAGCAGGGTTCCGTGCTTGTATTCACCTAGTGCTCGTGAAACCCTCCCTGCTTCTCCTTTCCGAAAAGGCATAATGCCATGGCTAACTGCATGCACTGCCGCTGTTACACGTTCCCGACTGGGGTGGACGTGCTGGGGACTCTTTCCACGCACAGGGACAGGGACAGCATCTGAGACAGCAGCAGGAGGAGGGGCCCAGGTGGGCAGGGGACCCACAGGCCATTCAGGGAGGGACGTCTGGCTCCAGAAGACGAGGGCCCATCTTGGGGTAACCGAGGCAGACAGTCGGGGACTAGGCAGAGGCAGAGCCCCTGTGGAGGAGGAGGGGGAATGGACCTGGGTATGAGGTGTGAGTGCAGGTCTGGGCTTCAAGGACAGACGCGCAGTGGGGGCCGAGACCAAGGCGCGACACCTGCCGTTAGGGCGTGAGGGCTGACCCCGTACGTCCCCTCAGACCGGGGCCAGGGCTGGTCCCCGGGGTGGGCGGTCACAGTGAACCTGCGCTTGAGAGTCAGGCGGCCGCACTCCAAAGGCAGGCAGGAATCCGGACCACCAAGCCGCGCTGGGGGCGCCCCCAGAAATAACGCAGCATGCGCCTGGGCGTCGGCGGTGCTCGATGCCGGCAGACTCGGTGACGTGCTCTTCTCCGTCAGGCATAACTACGTAGAAGGAACCAAGATGCTGGCCGCGTACCTGTATGAGGTGTCTCAGCTGAAGGACTGAGGCCGGTCCCCAGGGAGCGCCGCCTCCCACCGGAGCCCTGCCCTCGCCCTCTTGCGGCTTGCTCGGGAGGGCGGACGCCCCTCCCCTCCCTGCCTGTCAGGCCACGCAGACTCCGAGAGTGGGCACGAGTGTGTCCGGCTGCCCCGCGGGTGGAGCTCCCTGCACCGGCAGTTAGAAGCGGTCGGGCCTGGGGGTTGTCGGGGACCTGACAACAGCCGCGTGGCCCGGGGAGGTCACTATGACGTGACCTCCAGAAAATAGCCCAGGTCCAAAAGCACAAGTTCTTCTGTGGGAGGTTCTGGTTGTCATCGAGTTGGGACGAACAGAGGACTTGACGCCTCTGTCTCGGGCGATGCACACCTGGAATCTTCGGGAAGGAACGAGAAGTGACCCCTGCCTGTCCAGGGTCCTGTCCTTGTCTCAGGACCTTGACCACGGCTGGCATTTCCCCTTTTCTCTTTACTGTGCTCCCGCCACCCCCAGCCCAGCTGGAAGGTTCGCCTTGTCTCAGTCTGTGCTGCTGAATAAAAGGTAGAAATGAAGCCTCTGAAAGGTCGCTGCGTCTCACTCACTCGTGGAGTCTGTTCATCGTGTCAGCTCGTGGTGGGGGTGGCGCTGGGTGGCGGTCAGGGCTCCCAGAACAAGACTCGCGTCTTTCTGGGCAAGCACGTGTCCTCTCCAGCCCCGGACGTGGGGGGACTCACTCATCACCCGAGTGTTCAGAGAAGCGTCCCTGTCCCCGCTCATCCCTTACTGCTGCTGAGCCACAGGAAGTCAAATGGTTTAGACAAAATAAAGGGTTGGTTGGCCCAGCTGGTACCTAAGAGCTGAGCACGCTCAATGGAAGGAACCGGCGCTGCCTGGGGCGTGGGTGATTCCAGGGCAGGGGCAGGGAAAATGCAGGTGCGCCCAGAGCGCCTCGAGGCAGGAAGTGAGGCTGTGCTCTCAGAAGCTCGGCCCACAGGGGCCACGTCTCAGGCCACGGGAGCCAACCTGGAAGAGCTTGTGATGGCCAAAGGGGGCGATTTGAGCAAGAAAACAACAATAGCACTAGGTTATGCCCCACGGAACGTATAGCTGCCCGTGAGGCGGTGCCGGCACAATGAGTGAGCGAGTGAGTGCAGAGGGACAGGGCCTCCTTGGGGAGAACGGCCACCGGTGCAGAAGGAAGGAGGGACACGGAGAATCGTCATCAGAACACCGCGGTTGCTGCAGGCAAGATCCCTGACATACACTAACTGGTGGGCAAAAGTTTAAGAAACAGGACACTTGGCTAGCTTGAAAGATGTTAGTCTGCAGGGAAAATAATAACTTTACGGTGGAGAAGCTGGCAGATGCCACCTTCACCAAGTCATCAAAATGAACCTCAGCAGTAATGACACGTCAACATGTACCATGAGAGATGCCCTGGGAGGACATGGCAGTTCTGGTAGCCTCATGCTGCTCGTGAAAAAAGCAGACAAATTGATAAAATCTGAACAACACCTGGAGTTGGCATCATGCTGATGCCAACGTCTTAGTTTTTATCATTGTGCTATGGTTATGTACGATGTTAGCTGGGTGAAGTTTACACTGGGACTCTCTACTATTTTCAACTTTTCTCTAAATCTAGTCTCATTTCGAAGTAAACACTTTGAAAAAGACTGGGGTGGTGGCTTCAGGTCTGGCTGGACCCAGCACTCAGTGCGATCGGGCCCGGTGCTCCACCTCTCAGCTCCTTCAGCATGACTGAGAAGGGCGTTCTTTCAGCTTCTAATCCTGCAAAAAGAACTGCAGGGTCTTCCCGCGGGAGCCCCCGCCGTAGCTGCGCATGTCTCAGGCACACGAGCTGCACACGGGCTCTGGTTGGTCGTGAACCCATGCTAAGCTGTGGGTGTGAGGTTTGTCGCCCCCAGACTCGAGCTGAAATTTAACTGCCCTTTTAACGGTATTGAGGCGGGACCTTTGAGCGGCGATTAGGCCACAAGGGCTGCACCCTGGTGACTGTCTGGATGCTGTCCTGGGAGTGGGCTCCAGACAGAAGGAGGCGCGGGGCCCCCCCTCGCTCTCAGGCTCTCAGCCCTTCCGTGCTGGGCCTCCAGAGTCAGGAGCCAATGAATATCTGTTCATTGTTTTAACCATCAGTTGGCCAATTTATGTAAAATGTGATCAAAACTCCATTATAAGAGTTCAAAAAGGCATGGAAAAATCCAATGAGTTTGAATCTTATTTCAAGTTTTAAAATCTGGGACTAGTTTAAAAAACTTATATGCTAATTTCAGCCCAAGATTAATTTTTTTCAGAACCAAACTAAAAATTGCAACATGGAAATATCGATGCAACTGTCAACGGAAAAGAACCAAAACTCTGTAAAATAATTTAAAAAGGTTTATTCTTCTGCAGAGGACAGGGAAGGCTAATAAAAGAAAATGGCAAGAAAAAAAAATAAAAAGGTTTATTCTGAGCTGAATATGTGCGACCACGGCCCAGAGCCACCCCCAGGAAGCCCTGAGCAAGTGGTCTCGCCATGGTTGGGTCACAGTTTGGTTTTATACATTTCAGGGAGACAGGGATTACATGTAAAGTCGTAAATCGATTCATGGAAGGCAGAGATTGGTCTGGCCCGAAAAGGCAGGACATCTCAAAGCAGGGGCTTACAGGTTATAGGTGGGTTTAAAGATTCTTTGATTTGTAATTGGTTAAAGCAATGGAGCTTTGTCTAAAGGCTTGGAATGTTTTAAGAGAAAGAATTCTGTTAATCAGAGACAAGCTACCCACATATGCCCAGACTCAAGTGATCTGTTAAGTCAATGGCTTGCGGGTGTGGTTTAACCTTTGTCTTACGTGGCCTTAGACCTGTTAATGATTTTGTATCTTATAGTTACAAAGAATAACTCAAAAGGGACAGGACATATCTAGGCATGTCTGACCTCTCTTCTTAGGGCCGGTGACTCAGCTTTAGGTTTTTTTGGGGGTGTGGGGGGATTCCTCTTGACCAAGAGGGAGTCCATTCAGTTAGCTGGGAGGCTTAAGATTTTATTTTAGTTCACACAACAAAGTAAAATTTGCAAACCCAAGTCACACATCGATAGTTAATAATCATGGTAAGGGACATAGCCAAAGAACAACGCCTGCCTCAGTTAAGTGTGGAAGAAACTCTGCCTTCTGTGAGGGCAGAGAAGAAACAACATAAGCAATTCTGCTTCAGGAAATTTCCACAGAAATAGAAAATGCTAGAGCCTCTGCCACAAATAAAATTGCAAAGCCTCAACATGTCCCGCTCTCTCCAGAGAGCACCAAAGGTTAAATGGGAGCCAAGACAGGACTTGAGCATTTAGTTCCAGCCATGCAACTCGGAGAGCGCGGTTCCAGGTGTGGAAACCAGCTGCGGACAAGCTCTTTAAGAACGTGAATTTTATCCACTGTAGTTACAAAACAAGGCCAATGTTTCTGCATTATTGTTTGGCTTTCCAAAGGGCACTATGAGGCATCAGGGCCTCTTTCAAAGCCACCCTCAGCAATAATTATGTCTTCCCAGCCTCGGTAACCACCTCTCAGTTCTCTTGCCTCTGCACACGTGGTCACAGACTCTCATAGGCACCCCACTTTGTAGAATGACTTCTGTCCTTAAATCCGGTCATGGCCTACGTGGCACGGAAGCAGCTATTTCGTGGGCATCTCCCACCTGGGTGTGAGCGGTTCCCCGTCACTTCTCCTTCATGCCCCGCCCCCCTTCACAAAAGCCTCCAGAGCCCTCAGCAGGGAGGGCCCCCACCGCGGGGACCCACACAGGAGGGCATGTCCGGAAGCTCTACTCCTCCCGCTCCCTCTGCTGGAGACCCAAGTGACAGTTTGCTGCAGAGACTTAGTAGAAACAATGATTATTTATGAATTCATTTTTGCACACATTTACTTAATTTAGAACCCGGGATTTGACAATCCTTCCCCAAACCCTTTTAGAGAGGGTAGCTGGATATGCGGCAATGCTAAAGGATCCGGATACAGAATTGTGTGTCGGGTAATTCATAACCCAAACATGAAACGATGAATGGCCCAGGAACCTGCGTTTTATTGATACTGCCATCTTTCCCACAGGAGAATCTTAGAAATAAGTCACCTATTTTGCTTTTGATGAATGACCGTATCCCTGCATCTTTCTTTGAGAAAAGCACCAGCTACAATTGACTGTCACACTTTTTAAATGAAATCGTGACTAACTGACGCTCATGTCTCCACACCCTCATCTGCCTGCTGGTCATCACTTCCCTCAGAGTTGCCTTTATTCGGTATCACTGTCACAAGAACTGAAATTTTCAAACAAACAAAAAAAAGTCAAGTTACAAATAAGTAAGTGGCAGCCCCAGGGAAGCCCTTTTACTACGATTTCTATTTTCTGTTCAATCCATACCGCAGAGGTACGGGGATAAACCACCATTTGGGTTCTCAGGGTTTACTGAAGAACTCATACACGACATTCCAGATAAATGAAGGTTAATCCTCGTCTCCCTCCTCTTCTTCGTCCTGGTTAATTCGGAAGCAACGTAATTCGTAACTCTCTTTTTGTTAGCAACCAATCACGTAGGTGATTCTTCTTCAAATGTGTTAGGGTAAGGTATTTCAAATACCTTTTAGGAAAAGACACTGCAGAGGTGACGGTGACCTTGCCTCGCTCCTCTGGGTGGTCACATCCGCTCCACTGCGACGCGCAGCTTTTCCGTCCACTTTGATTCTCTCTCGTGAAAACTCTCGAAATTGGCCTCAGCTGTGATCCCATCCTCTCCGGGGTGGTTGCTGTCAGGAATGAACTTCAGAACCTGCTGCTTTGTTTTGTCCCCTTCACCACGCACGAGCTTGTTCACAGGCACCACGGCGGCAGAAAGGAGGTGAGTGGACTCCGCAGGGGCAGAGAGCCCCGGGCGCGGGGCGCGGGGTCGGGGCGGCAGCTGGCCAGCGTCTGCTCATTGGTTACCTAGTCTCAGGGCGTGCAGCACCCGGCGGCGCAGGCCAGACCGGTCTCCCTGGACCCCAGTGTGGGGACAACCCCTCTGGAGGTGCTGGGGGAGGACGACTTGGAGGACGGCGGATGGCCGAGCGGTGGGTAGAGAGCAAATGCTCAGCCTTCTGCAAACTCCGCAGCCCCCTGTGCACGCCCCGGAGCCCTGGGCTGTCTGGGCTGCGCTGCATTCCCGGTGCTGCCCGCACCTGGCCTGTTACCAGGTAAGTGCACGAGTTGGGCAGCGTGGACCCGCACACACTCATGTCCACACTGCTTTGTAGGAGTAGAGCTGGCACGCCACTAGCCGGTTTTCACGTAAACAACAGACAAATAGTGTAAGTGGCATTTTGTGAAACCCTGGACTGAACAGGTTTGACTGCCAGGTTTGCTGATCCTGTGAGCTTGAGCCGCCGTTGACTCCTCAGTGCCTTAGCGTCCTCCTGAGTCAAGGAGCACGGACCACTTCGCACCTCAGGGGGTGTGAAGACAGAGAACCCTGTGGCCCTGTGCAAGGTCCGCAGAACTGTTCCCTTTCGTGCTTGGGGATGGTCCTTCCCCAGC